TGGGGTGTGGGTGTGGGTGTGGGTGTGGGTGTGGGTGTGGGTGTGGGTGTGGGTGGGTGCGGGTGGGGGTGGCGGTATGAGCGTGGGTGGGGTGTGGATTTATGTTCTTTCTTAACCCACACCCACACCCACACCCACCCACCTATACCCACACCACCCACACCACCCACACCCCACACCCACACCCGCGAAAATTTTTGCTAGTTATAATTTGAGCTTGATATTAGACTACACTACATCTCTATCTACAAAGTTCTCAGTTTATACTTTCGAATTTTCATCATATATTCGATTATAATTGTGAACAAGATGGAAAATAAATTATGAGAGATAAATGTCAGAGCATATCAAGCTAATACAATACGAAAATCGACCGTTTTTTAAGCTACATATATACAGACAGTTTCTATTGTATCATTACAGTTACTTTCTTCTGAAAAACTAATTTTCATTGAAGTGAATAGATGCAGTCATTCGAAAGATCTATGAAAAATTTTCTTAAATTAGACAAAATATTCTTAATCGAAGTCCATATTAATTCAAATTAAACTTAAAGTTTCAATTAACATTTACTTTTTCATTTAATTTATATGGAAATTAAATTATGAGATATTTATTAAAAATGTAAATTAATTTGTCACAGGATTTATATTTACTTTTAAATGTAAGTTATGTTAATTTACATTTATTTCTAAATGGAAGTCCTGTAACAAAATAATTTACATTTACAATAAATATAAATTTCTTATAATTTATATTTATTATAAATTGAACGATAAATGACATCCCTAAACTAAACGACGTGAGATAGTTTTTTCGGGAATCTGTATCGATAATCAATTTTCTGATCCTTTAATTTTTTGGAAACAACATGATGTTGATTTACCATTATTATCAGATATGACCCGTTGCTATTTTCAGCTTCTGCTACAAGTGTTCAAAGCGAATCGGCTTTTTCTATTTCTGCACATTATGCAAGAAAAGAACATTCTCGACTATCACCTGATAATCTAGCGATGTCAGTATTTCTTAAAGACAAGCTTTAAAACTGAAAGAAAAAATGATACTAAAGTGGTCAGCATTCATACAATTACATCTGAAAATTTTTTTTTTGTTTGTCTTTATGGTACTTCTTTGTGTGTTTATCTTGATTGAAATAAAATAATTCGAACTACACGTTAAAACAAGATTCTTTTGAAGAAAGTACAGTGTAAGTATTTGAAATTCTAAGCTGGAACTGTTTTCAATCAAATTATTATATATCTATTACATTACAAGAAAATAGTAATAATATATTTTGTTATAAAGATACATCAAATAATCATACTAAAGTTTAAATACAATATGGACTCTTCTAGATAGATTTATAAAGCTGCAAGATATGTATAGGCTACTGCAACACGACAAAAGGATTTCACTGTAAATGGTATTTGAACATTAAGTCGAAAAATTCGCTAAAAACCAAGACATTATAATCCTAATTTTATTTTTATGTGATATAACAATCGCAGTCCTATAATTAACTATGACATGATGCACTGCAATGGTACTGCCTACTTCAGTACTATGCACAAACCAAGACGTATACAATTCGAACAAAAAATCAATACCCAAACCCAAACCCAAACTCAATACCCAAACTCACCAAACCCAAACGGTTTGGGTTTGGTGCATGCCTATTCTTAATGAAAGGTAATACACAGTTTCACAAGAAATCACGACTTTTATATTATTAATAGAATAAAATAAGCTGCCTATTATTGAATAAATAAGTTATTATTATAATTTTTTCGAAAAATATTTCATTTGACGAATGAAACAATCTGAAAAGAAGTAGATAAAAAATATGTTAATATGACAAGAACGTTTTTGTTTTCCTTTTAATGTCAATTGATCATGTATATAATGATGTGTTATTCTGTCGTTGACAAATTTTCATTTAATATTCGGATGATAATTTTCATATGAAATTGAGTAATGTCAATAATAAAGAGCTGAGTCTTTCAATAGAAATGATTCTATCCTCAGTAGATTCATCAAATTCACACATTACAATCAATGCGATAGAGAATGTATGGTTCTGTATGATTTAGATGATAAATCACTGAGAATTTGTTTCTTCTGATTTTGAATGATTAGTCAAATTATAGCAATAAATTCATCTTCAAGTCATTTTAACATTCAAAAGAAGTTTTTATTGGGTTCATGGGTGTGGATGTGGTTGACAAGTACAATAACAATCAAACCTACTTCCATACTCAGGTGGATGTGGATAGATTTGAGTGTCGACATTAATTTTTCGTTCATTCATGTGCATAACCACATTCCATGCCCTCCAAAAATCAAAACACTGCCCTGCATCGAAAATAGAAACATGTATAATGAGTTTTATAATAGGTTTTGTAGAACTAAATGCAAGAATTCGAATGGAACTAAAACAAAAAAGCTGCAGTTCTGTAAAAACTATTGAGTTCTTGTAAAAATTAATTGCATATGATTTTTAGCTACTATGCTATAAATAAATAAAAGATATTTATGAAATCATTGACATATTCTATAGAATCTAAATCCTTTTATGCACTGTTACTGAGGTCTATAAAAGAGGAAGGGGACCGGCCAAAATTTGAACTAAAAACTAAAACTTATATTGATTATTTTCTTCGAAAATATATACGAGTTTGACAAAATCCTTTTATCCAAACGAAGTCTTTAGAAAAAATCTCGTGTTAGTATCGTTTCTTTATTGATAACGTATTAAGTATTGACCATAGGCTTGCGCATCGTGAAATACAACATAAATATGTTCACCATCAGTCGTTGAATTATAATTTGGTGGACAAACTTTCATTGTTTCCTTTCCTAGAGTTGTTAAACCGATTAGAACACGTGCAAAAAACATACACCTTTCACCATCTTGGTTCCGTTTCGCGAAAGAATGACTGTATCCTGCGCGGGATGAGAAGTAAACACCACTTCCATAAAATGTACCTAGAATAATAAAGAATTAAATGGAATATTGATGGTATCATCTAGTTTTCAATGCGATAAAGTACAAAGAACTCGTGATTTCTACAAAAGCACTGTCAATAGATTAGTTCTGTTACTATCAACAAGCAAAAACTGATACTTACCGTGCTGTCCAGCAAAACTTCGATCGAAATTTCCTTGCATGATTTTAGAGGCAGCTATATCTGAACAACCGTGATATAGAAATTTTTCTGTATTCATTTTCAGTCGTCTCTGAAAATCATCTCGTTGTGCGACGTATTGTTTATACCATCGTTCATTTTGGATACGTTGAATTTGATTTATTTTATTATATTTACCAAACATTGTCTCATTAAATTTCATGACAATAACATTATACTCAATTGAATCTGATTTTACAGATACAGATAAATTATCATGATTCAATTTATCATCTAGTTTATTAGGTAAAGTGTGAATAACCACCGTCGATTCTAAAAATAAAAATGATACAATAAATATAAAGTTTTAAAAATTGTAAAATGTTACATTGGATTTTTTTATAGGAATTTTGTAGTTTGTGAACTTGAGTTGTTGAAAATTCTATAGATAGTAATTATCTCTCGGCTGTAATTTCACAGATTAGAGATAAAATATTTATATGAGCCAGTTCGTATAAGCCACGACCGATCGTGCTCAATCGATAGTCTTCGATTCGCCTAATTTTTTCATGGATGATAGAGGCAAGTGTTTTATGAATTTCTACGCAAGCCGTTTTAAAAAATTTTGTTCCGTTCTTGAGATATTGAATTTTTTCTGAGAGCACCCTTATCAAAAAATGACAATTTTTGCCATTTTTTTTGAGATTCATAACTTTTCAAAAAAACATCTGTTTCACTTGAAATTTGACTGTATGTTTATATCGAGGTGTAGTATTTTTCTTTTTAATTTGAACTAGAATGGATGAATCATTGATGAGTTCGTCTGGAGTACTAGATCCATTGAAAAAATTGCATTTTTCTGCATTTTGTTCATATACATTTTAATTGAATGGATAATGCCAGTGAGTTAAAATTTTAACCACAGAGAGATCTCATTGACTAGTAACTATGTTGCAAATTTTAGCTCTCCAGCTAGTTCCCTTAGTCCATGGCACCATTCTCAAAATTGCAATTTTGATCAAAATCACGATTTTTTCGGAGGTCTATCCGGAGCAAAATCAAGTCTATAGAGGGCTGGTATTTATAAGTTCAAACAACACTCTTAGTACTATGAAGCCATACAAGAAACAGGATGGGACACTATAGAATACGATGCAGGGACTTATTGAAAGATGAGTCATAAATTGGGGTCCTGATTCCCATATAAAATAATTATAATAATTCATAAATTAATGAAAAATTTATCCTATAGACAATTTTTCATGTAGAATCTGATGGTAATATTCTTTCGATTATTATTAAAAATTTTAGCCATGTTCCTTCCTCCCTACCATTCGTCAAGACGTGAAAATGATATTTTCTAATTTTTAACCATATAATGTCGTCTATGATATTTTCAAGAGAATGAAAATTTATATAATTTTTAACCGTGAGTAAGATAAACAGTTTCAATTCATCATTTTTATTGTATTGTTTACTCATGGCACCATCTCATTCTGATCAATTCTTTCAAAATGGCATATAATTAATCATTCATCTACAACTTATCTCTGTTCATGTCTAGGAGAATTTTCTTTTTGTCGTTAGACAAATATGTGTAAAGTGAAATGCATATTCACCAAATAATTCAAATAATTAATAACTTTGTGAGTATGGTTCATTGGTTGAAAGAGAAGCGAGGTTGAAAAGAAAAAAAAGGATGGTTAGAAACAGAAGAGAAGAGAAAAAGATGAGTAAGAGTAGGAAAGAAAAAAATTGAGCAGAATGAGAGAAGAGAAAAAAAATATTCAATATAATGAAATACAAATGATCCAACTAACAGAGACATTCCTGACTTGCCAAAGTAGCAACTTTGTCCTTCTCGATGTTCGTGAGGTAACACTTTTTGAGCCCAATCAAATGTAGCAAAGGCTTCGTTAGAAGCCATATGCAAGATAATATTTGTTTTCTCCTGATTCTGTTGAGCAGCTCTTATATTATGTCTGAACCATTCATGTATGGGTTGAATACAATTTTCAAAATCATAGCTGGTTTCTCGCCTCAGTTCTTCATTATGAATTTCTTCGATTCTTTTCCCCACCTCATCTAGTGTAAATATTACATTTAAGCAGTCTCGACAATTTACTGAATGTGGTCGGGAACACCTGACGCTTTGATCGGCGCAGGTAGGATGACTTAATCCAAATCTAATGCAATGTGTTATACAATCATCGTCATCTATACAGTGCCCCATGTGCTTTCGTTTTTGATATACTTCTGTCATTTCTATTTGCGTTTTTAGTCGTTTACGGTCCACTTGTGGTATAGATAAATTAGATACGATATCTATAATACATAAGTATAATATTTTTATGATAAAAAAAAATTATCAGCTTACTGGAGATAGTCTTCCAAGTTTCAATTCCTTCTGTTACAAATTCATCGAGACCAGAAACAGCATGTTGTGATGATGGTTTAATACTACCGAGTATTTCAAACAACTTTGTCCTACCCAAATTGTTAAAATTAGTTTCTTGACAATATTTTAAATACTCGACTATAGCATGACTACGTTGCGACTGAAGAATCTGTTTTGAAATAATAAATTTTTCTCCATCATCCAGTGTAATTGTAGTGATACCATAGTTACCTGTTTGAAAAAGCTCGTAAAAAAGAGATCAGAAGAGAATGAGCTAATCTGACCTCATAGAAGCAGCTGACTATCGATTAACCACGTTATAAAATGTCTGACCCTTTGAGGATCAACACGTTCTCGAATATTAGGGCTTTCATTTTGTCTGAAATAATGTTCTTCATCGTCCCTCATCTTGTGTGCTAACTTGATTGCATGACGTGAGCAATTGAAGTTGGCAATAATTTGATCGTACGACCAGGCGCGTGGTAATAATGTCAATAAGCGCACTTGTTCGGCAAAAGGCATCTTTTGAGCTGTGTATAGATTATAAATTTTCTTGATGTTTTCGACCATTTCGTTGTTTTCAACCTGCATATCGATATTAGGTTGAGTAGAGGTTTCAGATAAATTGGCCATTCTCAGCAACTCATCACCTTCACCAGGTGCTGAGGTTTCAGCTAGTTTACCTAGACCAATCACGTTGATAAAATGTGCTTTTACATCTTTATAAAATTTTACTTTGCAGAGGTTGAGTACCACGTTTTAGTTTACTTAGAAGACGGCGAACACTACTTTTGCTTTGTTGCTTCAGAGTTTTCGTTATCTGTGATTTAACAGGACTGAGACCAGCTACGTTCAAGATATTATTCATATGTTCACGAGTGTCTTCAATTTCGTAGGCACTATCGAATGTGTCGCAGCTTGGATGACTATACATTTCAGAATCAGAGTTTGAATGAAGCATTTTTCGATGTTTCGAACAGAGTCTAAATAAACAAATAGACTTTGTAAAATTCAAAAACAACAGTGAAATATGGCTCTTACGGTCCTTCAATAGGAAATCGATCAATCTTGGAACACATAATTATGTTAGCTCTGCGGCAATCTGATGGTCTCAGATGTTGTTGTACATCATGACCAGGATGATGGCAAACGTTATCTCTGTCACACCATCCTATTCCGAATGTGTTTCGATGCTTTGGACAAATACGGATGTTATTATGAACAGGAATGTTTTTCAGTTGTAGACGATTTGCTATTAAATCTTTTTCATTGAGTTTTAAATAAGGCCGTTGTTGCTCCAACATGATACCTTTTCGTATCAAATATTCTTCCGCCGAAATATTGTTAAGGTATTCAAAGGAGACACATCCGACAGGCCAATCCCTACGAGCTGTTCCTCAATAATCCGCTGTTTTAACGAAAGATTATAATATAAAGTACTCACCATTCTTACTAGGCCCACAATCATTTAGACTACCAGCAGGCGATAGACAGCAGACATTATAATCAATCATAGGTGATGTCGTATTTAAAGCAGACAGAGACGGATGATCATTCTCTTTCACCTCTTCGACTGAAATTGATAAAATCACTGAAGTTTATTATATAAACGAAGTGAACTTACTTATTGATTCTGTTTTAAAATCATCTTTTTCATCATCAGAAAATATGGATTGATATGCAGGAAACATATCTTCAGGTGCAGTAGTTGAATAGCTATTCATAATTGAATAAGGCGACTCGTAATTATCATCATAATTCTTTGTCAGTACAAAAGGACCAGTATAAGTATGACTTGATCTTATACTTGAACTACGCGTTTCACATATAGATACCAATGATATATTATTAGATATATTGTTCATATCAGAAACCGATGTTGAAAAATCCATTGTTGTTGATTGACTAATTGTTTCCGACCAACTGTTGCCACAACTATAAGTCGTTGCAGGATAACTATTGCCCATTTCAAAATAAAAGGCGGGTGAGTATTTTTTTGAACAACTTTTGATAGGAAAATGGTAAAGAGCTGCGGTTTTCACTGTTGGAAAGAGCAGATAAAAACGCATCGAACCATATAAGACAACTACTTTTAACTTGAACTTTTGAAACCTTTTTCAATAGTTGAACAAAGAAATGCCTTAAAGACAGGTATGATTTTTTCAGAAAAAAACGAAACAAATTCAAAAAACTGAGTTTTTTTGCAGAAATTGCTGGCAAAGTGGACTAGAATTGTCGAATATAATGCCTAGAACTCCGAAAGCAGTAAAACTTTGTATCAAGCCATATATATAATTTTCTAGCTCGTCAGCTGGCGATTCTATTCCACTCCTGAAAGTTTAATATTTGTTATATCTTCATAGAGTAACAGTCTACTCTTCCAAAATGACCATAAATCACTATTTATATATGAAATAAATCCCAACAATTTTATATGAATCGATGCGCTGGATCAGCTTCTTTCCAACAGTGAAAACCACAGCTTCGTATCTTGTTTCTATCAAAAATTATTCGAAAAATACTCACCCGCCTTTTATTTTGAAATGGGCAATAGTGGTACTTAATGTGTCATCAGCACTAGAAGCATTTATTGAATTATCACTACTTGCCATACCACTATCAATCACTTCCATTCCATTATAACAGAAACTATTGCACGTTTGCGAGTGACCTGCCATAGTTTTCTTTTTCTTCGACAACACACGAGAAGTTAAGTTTTCGCTTGAAAATTTTTCAGTAACTGAATAAACTAATTTTATTATATTGAATATTTTTTTTCTCTTCTCTCATTCTGCTCAATTTTTTTCTTTCCTACTCTTACTCATCTTTTTCTCTTCTCTTCTGTTTCTAACCATCCTTTTTTTTCTTTTCAACCTCGCTTCTCTTTCAACCAATGAACCATACTCACAAAGTTATTAATTATTTGAATTATTTGGTGAATATGCATTTCACTTTACACATATTTGTCTAACGACAAAAAGAAAATTCTCCTAGACATGAACAGAGATAAGTTGTAGATGAATGATTAATTATATGCCATTTTGAAAGAATTGATCAGAATGAGATGGTGCCATGAGTAAACAATACAATAAAAATGATGAATTGAAACTGTTTATCTTACTCACGGTTAAAAATTATATAAATTTTCATTCTCTTGAAAATATCATAGACGACATTATATGGTTAAAAATTAGAAAATATCATTTTCACGTCTTGACGAATGGTAGGGAGGAAGGAACATGGCTAAAATTTTTAATAATAATCGAAAGAATATTACCATCAGATTCTACATGAAAAATTGTCTATAGGATAAATTTTTCATTAATTTATGAATTATTATAATTATTTTATATGGGAATCAGGACCCCAATTTATGACTCATCTTTCAATAAGTCCCTGCATCGTATTCTATAGTGTCCCATCCTGTTTCTTGTATGGCTTCATAGTACTAAGAGTGTTGTTTGAACTTATAAATACCAGCCCTCTATAGACTTGATTTTGCTCCGGATAGACCTCCGAAAAAATCGTGATTTTGATCAAAATTGCAATTTTGAGAATGGTGCCATGGACTAAGGGAACTAGCTGGAGAGCTAAAATTTGCAACATAGTTACTAGTCAATGAGATCTCTCTGTGGTTAAAATTTTAACTCACTGGCATTATCCATTCAATTAAAATGTATATGAACAAAATGCAGAAAAATGCAATTTTTTCAATGGATCTAGTACTCCAGACGAACTCATCAATGATTCATCCATTCTAGTTCAAATTAAAAAGAAAAATACTACACCTCGATATAAACATACAGTCAAATTTCAAGTGAAACAGATGTTTTTTTTGAAAAGTTATGAATCTCAAAAAAAATGGCAAAAATTGTCATTTTTTGATAAGGGTGCTCTCAGAAAAAATTCAATATCTCAAGAACGGAACAAAATTTTTTAAAACGGCTTGCGTAGAAATTCATAAAACACTTGCCTCTATCATCCATGAAAAAATTAGGCGAATCAAAGACTATCGATTGAGCACGATCGGTCGTGGCTTATACGAACTGGCTCATAAGCTAATCCATTGGTGTATCATGAACATATTGTATCAGTATTTTATTTTACTTCTCGGTCGCATACATTTTTGTTCAGTGTAATGGCTTCTTAGTTTTGTTTTTTTTGTCTTTTAGAAACGTGCTTCGTCTACCCGAAACTATCCATGTATGTTATAAAGGGGACGCGCGCAAAATAAAAAAACATAGTAAAGACCGAAAAGAGTAACAATTCGATGGTTGCATACTATGCTCAAAGAAACATTTGTGTAGAACTTCTGACTCTTTAAAATTTGTTTATATGCAAAACCATGAAATTGTTTTCTTTTCTATGTATTGTACATGAAGAATCTTCTAGTGTTTCGAATGAAACATTTCTCTATAATATATATTTAACTGTTTTCTTCTTACCATAAGCGCTTTTAAAAGCATTGTAAATCTCCTGTGACTCTGAATGAATAACGAACGTAATATTTAATGGATACTTTTCGATTTTTACATGATCTATCATTGTTTGAGCAATAAATGTAATACATGAATCAGCACGTCCACAACCAATTGCTGGAAATGCTACACTTGTATAACCCCTACTGCGTACATGTTCTATTGCTTCTGCAATAAACCCTCTTAACGTTTGTTCTACGAGTATAGGGTTTTGATCACGTATCCATGTTAAAAAAAGGACTTGTTGACATAGTAACTTTGGACATTCAAGAAGAAAACTTTGAAATTGACCCGCCGATGACTTTTTCTTTTCATATTCTTTTCGAAACTCAAAACCAGCTGTTTGTAGTACATATTCTATGAGTACTTCAGATGATGAACATACAACAATCACATCAACCTATATAGAAAATAAATGAAATTAATTCATACATGCACATCTATGTATTTCAGTTTGCCGACTGTTTTACAGACTCTTTTGGTCATAAGAATACTTTTTCGATGAGAAATCATATGTTAACTTACTACAACAGTTAAATGTACAATTTCTTACTTTTTGTTTTGTCAAATCTCCTTTAAGAATCTGAATCTTCGGATTTGATAAGGAATCTTTGTCTTGAGCTGCATTTGTAAAAAAAACAATTTATTGATATTCTTTATAACAAGGATAACATCCAAATTTACTATATCGATTACTTTTATTAGATGATGGATGATGTGATCGTTGTCTTACATGGTCATGTGAAGGCACTACTTCTGTATAATTTCGGGATATGTGGTCAAATTCTTCACTAGGATGATAAAGACGTAAAATAGAAATTATTTTATACAATTATAATGAAAGACTTTGAAACTACACCATGGTTATCGTGCCATACTGACCGTTCATTATATTTACGATCATTAATATGCTTGTTGCAGTTGCCAGCAATATGCCCTGTTTGTCCACATTTATCACATATGCAATCGTTGATATTCTAGAAAAATTTCAACTTCAAAGCATCTCAATAAAATTAAAACACACTGTTAGCGGTGATTCATTCTCATTTCTTTCCCTTGATATCTTACTATATATTTCTTCTCTTCTTCCTTTCTTTTCTCTTTCTCCTCTTTCTCGATTGTATGTTGTTATATATATGTACGTGTTGTTAAGGACATTTTTTAACTAGTCAGATATATTTTGGAAAATAAATAAACATCAGCTCGTCGAAACGAGCTAACACACACATAACTTAATATTCAAGTTATAAGTGACTCACGATTGACTTTTCTCAATTCAAGACAAACAAAGATAATTTACTAGATGCTCATTTATCTTTCTTCCAATAAATAAAATGAAATAGTAAAATATATATGTATATATTTTTTTTAATCTCTAGTCATAGTCAGATATATGAATCTTTTCAAACACTTATCATAAGTGTGAGGTGATAAGATATTGATTCTAGTAAAAGATATTGTCACGATTTTTTTAAGACATAATATACAGAAGGATTTCACTTTCTTTTTATGAGCAGTTTATGTTTATCACGTGATTATTCACAACAAGTTCTTAGTGACACACTACATGATATACACTTAGTTTTTTAAAGAAATTTTACAATCGTCTATTATAATCTATTGTTTTACGTAGCACAACAATCCAATAAAGAAATGTCTTTTACAGTCGATTATCAAGTAATAATATATATATATATTATTTTTTCAAGTATTTTATCACTATGTTGGAAATAATGTTTCATAAGAATCAATATTGGCTTCTTAAGAATACGCCGAAAGAAACAGAAAAGATTATTTTCAGTTGCACTTATGTTATATTAATCATTATGTAAATACTTATATTTCAATATAATTATGTAACTTGGAAATTTTCTATTGATTCGTTTAAAACACATTACATCAAAACTGTTAAATTATAGGAATGGCTTTGATTTTTCCCATGTAATAATAATTCCACGAGAACAGACTTATTCAATCGATAATTAACAGAATACAATTCGGTCATATAGTGATTTCAACAGAAACTAATAAGATAGAAATCAATTTTAGTATTTTGATGATTTGATGGAGGATACATCTACATAAAAGTCGAACTATTCATTTTTCTATAGAAATCTAAATAATGAAAATGAAAACTATACTTATCTACTACTGACCAGATTCGAAATTTTGGATTTGATGTGATTGTCGCTATCTGGCCACACTTCAGTTGCTGTAAGGTCTTTCAGCAAACTCCACAATCGCTTTGCACCTGTCATTCTTTTTCCAGTGTCTTTTGTCTGAAATTTTAATGATAAGTTAACTAAAACGTGAACCAACAAACAAAGTTCAACAGTTAGAAAAGTTAATAATATTAAAGAATCATACGATTATATATTTCTTCATATACATCCAATAAAAACAACAGAATATAATACGAAACGCATAAAAGAATCGACCATTTATATCTTTATTTTATCTTATTCGCTTTCAATAATCGAGAGGCTACTAAAATATAGATAAAGTACGATTTTTTATTTCTTGGAAGTTTTCAATTTTTATAAATAAGAGATAAGAGAATAGAAAAATCATATACCACTCAAGTCAATACACCTTTTTTTCGAGTTTCGACAGTATCTGCAAGGTGGCTCAAAAGACACACACCCGAAAAAAACTTAAATATCTCCATGATGATTCGGCTAAACAGCGTCACGTTTTGTACAAAGCATAGAAATATGTTCACACTCCAAATCCATATGCACAAGTTTAGTGAAAACCTTTGTTAACTATCATTATTGATCTCAACCAGAAAATTTTAATTTTTTACAGATAGAAAAACGACAATATCCTTAACAAATGTTTTCACTAATCTCGTCTCTATGACTTTGGAGTGTGAACATGCCTCTATGCTTGGTAAAAAATGTGATCCCATTTGGTCGAGATGTAATAGAGATATTCAGTTTTCTTTTCGGGTGCGTGGCTTTTTGGGGCGCCGTATTTAGATCGTAAAGTACTATAAATAAGAATTCGTTAATAGTTTGAGATGTGATAAAGAAAATGTGCGGAGATAATCGTGTACACAATTCAGAGAATTCAAGTAATAATGGAGAAAGGCCTAGGCACCGATGGTTTGTTACTATAGTCACCTTTTTCACATGCTTAATAATTTTTACAATTATTCTTTCACTCTTATTAAAATTTGTCATTCTTGCACCAACTGAACCAAAAACGAGTACTTCCACGACCACCACTACTACTACGACCACCACCACCACCACCACTACTACGACCACCACCACCACCACCACCACTACTACGACCACCACCACCACCACTACTACGACGACAACTACAACAACTAGAAGAACAACTAGAATCCCTAGGCCAAGTATGTTTTTTGAAGAACACTCCCTCCATTCATATTTTATATTTTATGTAGTCACATCTAACCCGTGCTTTGCATCCAATGTCACTGTACGATTAACTAATGGTCACATAAAAAAGATGAGTGATCTCAATGTGGGTGATTCAGTTTTTGTCAAAAGTAATAATGAGGTAATAGTAACTTCCATCGTGGCTATTTTTCGTCATTATCGAAGTTCAATTCATTTTGTCGATATTTATACAACGGAATCTTTGATCCCTCTTCGTGTAACACCATTACATTCCATATTGGTTCTTCCAAAGTACGATACACATGAACGATACTTATTCGCAAAAGATGTCTCTATTGGTGATTTTGTCTTCTCATCAGACTTACATCCGATGAGTATTATCGATGTTAAAGAAATCTTGATTTATGATGACAGTGGCTATGCACCATTGACATTTGAAGGTAATATTATTGCTAATGACATAGTAACTTCGTGCTATGCAACGTACGATCATTCGACGATGCATATGATCAATACACCGATTCGATGGTGGTTTTTCATTCTCTGCCAATTTCGTCACTTAACCGGATTTGATTATTTTCAAAAGCTAACTAGCAATATGATTGTTTCCTTTGTTGACTTTTACCTTCAAGTAGCGCATGAAATCAATCATTGTCGGCATTGAAGAACGAGCGATATTTAACCTTAAGTATATAGTAATAAAATTTCTTGCTCTGCAGTGTTTATTACTATTATTGACTCTATAATCAATAATATGGAGTGATAAGGCACCTTTATCTTTTATACAGCTTTTTCTGAGTATCAAATCAATTTGTAAAACGTTACGTTCTTCCTTCTTCCTTCATGTTGTTTCTTTTCATAATAAAACTCACATACACTTCACTTTAAATATAAAATGACCTGTTTCATCTATTGTGTTCAAAAGACCGAAGCTAATATTTACACACATCAAGGAGTGTGACAATACTTCATAAAAGTTAACTTTCTTCTCGAAAAAGGAAGGTGTAGGCGTAGTTGAAGACGATCGAGCAGAGAATCATCCATGCCACATACGCTCTTCCACACTCTATAAATTGATTTTTTTTATCCAATCTAAAAAGGTTTTTCGTCTGAATATCCTGCAAGATCCTTTCTGTGTTGTCGTAAAAAAAAACGAGATTCTGTCCCGAACTAAATCACAAAAATGGAATAACTTTTTTCTGTGCGAAGTTTACTATTGAATCTTTTCTGAATAACAGAAGCAAATATTTCGCATTAAATCTTTTCGCGAAACTCGATAAAAAGATTCTGCGCAAAATCTACACTAGACCTACAGTAACAAGGTTCTGTAAACACAGTTTGGTGTTAAAAATCTATCACGAATATAAATCATCCGTTTAGTACATAGTGATTCACACTAATGAGGAAAGGCACTCAAATGATTACAAGCTTTTGGATCCATATTTTATCCAGTGCTGGAGAACCTACAGACTAGAAGAAACGCCAAAGAGTTCCGGCTAAAGTTGAGACTTAACTGAGCTATTCCAATTTTAGTAGATTTTATCGGTATAGACCCAATATTTTCATAAAATCTCATTGTAGAATTCTGACCAGAAAACTATGCACCAATGAAGATATTAGTCTTGGATGCAAATGTCTGGTGTGAGTATTGAGGGTGTGGGGTGGGTGTGGGTG